CAGATTGCATCAAGTGCTATTGTTATCTCCTGTTTCATTATGAATAAATTATCTGATATAAAGTGTGTTATTCTCATTAATTAGATTTTTCCATGGTTAAGAAAGAGACTTAAATCAAAAAAGGCCTATTTCAAAGAAATGTGCCAATTGTTCCATTATACATTTGCAAAGTTAATAAACTAATTGATAGTGAAAGATACAGGTATTATCCATGTACCCCCTGCTCCCACATATGCACAGCCTCCCGTGTTATCAACATATCCCATGAGAGTGGTACATTTGTTGTAGGAGTCACGGCAAAACTTGCCCTTTTCACTTAGGTTGGTTTGCTGAAAAGATCAACTCAAAGTTATGGTAGATTAATAACAGTAAGGTTTATTTCAAATATTTTGCACACGGGGGGAACCACAAAAATGATTTCTCAAAATCTCAGTGATGGTCAGTGGCTTTTAAAGATTTTTAGAAGGGAGGAGGGAGAGAAACTGGAAAGTATAGGTGTAGCCAAGTGGTTGCTAGGGGGATGTGGATATGGGTGGGAAAAGATTAAATTGTAAATTAATCTGAAAGACAGGTCTCCTGCTTCAAATGACTTTAGGGGCAGGTCCATTTGTTTGCAATAAGGAAATCATCAGCCTTTTCTGATTCTAAATCAGGTTACTTGGGTTTTATAGAGGAGAGGCCAGTGCTTTCTTATTAAAAAATGTCCTTTTAACTCAAAATATTTTTTATACCAAGGAATCACATTTTGGGGTGCAATTTCTTTAGCTCTTTCAGTTGCAATTGATGAATCTGCATTACCCCATCACTATCCTCCAAAATTCATAGTTGACATGGGGGTTTGCTGTTGGTGGTGTACATCCTCTAGATTTTACTGAATGTGTGACACGTATCCATCATTGTGACGTCATACAAAATAGTTTCACTCCCCTAAAAACCCCCTGGGACCTATCTGCTCATCCTCCCCTCTCTTCTAACACCTAATATGTGTCTTTTCTATCTGCCTATTGAAGGAAAGAATCATATTTTATATTTTTGTGTCTAGTTATAAGCAAGTATACAATAATTGCTTTAAGTCATTAGTAAAACTCAAAGCAGATTGTTTAAACTGGTTCTAGTTTCAGTTCAAAATATATTGTCTTGTATCGTTTCAAGTAGCTTTGAAAACTTGAGGCTTAGTTTTTGTGTGGATAATTACAACGGTCATGTTTGTACAATGAAATACAAGGGATACTATGTCTATATGTAAGCATACAGCTAATACAGGTCAGATATACCTAGAAATATACAATACCTAGTTGTTTGGGGGTACACCTGTGCCCAAATTGTTTCATTTAGTTAACAAGATAGATACTGCCCTTCGTGAATCTACATTTCTGTCCCTTTATTGTTTAAACTTTTACTTGACATTTGGTTAGATGGCCTAGACTTCCTATAGGCTTAACTAGTGAATTATGGATAGAAAATACTGAAAATGAAACTCTTTTTGTGATAACAAATAAGAAACCCTAATAAATCTTAGAATAATGACCAAATTTAATTGATAACAAATTAGAGCAAGCATGAAAGAAATGGAAGCATATGGCTGAAACTGTCTAGGAGGAAAACGCAAAGAAGATAAGAGAGTGTGCCTCTGTCTGAGCAGGATTACCTAGTTGGAAGTGTGGACACACACGTAACTCTCTAGTAACTCTATTTCCAATGGCCATGCAATCAGACATAAGTGTAATGTGGCTCAAACACATAGGCAAGAAGAAGTTTTGTGAGCAAGAAGATCTTTATTTATGGAGAAAATGACATTTGAGCAGAACCTTGAAAGGCAAATTTGATTTTTGTATGTGAGTTGTGGAAAGCAAATTATAACTATTGGAGTAGCACAAGGAAGCAGGATAGATTTCTGATTGTATGTAATCGTTCCTGTAACATTGATGAGTCTAGTGAAGCAGAAGAAAAAGATGAGGGGAGAGGAAAGTGGAAGAGCAAACTGGAAACGTATATTGGGGTCAGGTTCTGAGGCATATTCCATGCCATCCTAAAGCAGTTCAGAGTTCATTTTACAGGCACTGGAAGTCATCTAGGAGAGGATTTTAAGCAGGAGATAGCATGAGTGGGTTTATCTCTTAGGATAATTACTCAGACTTTGACACAAAGATGCAAGGGATAGTCACTGGAGACTGGGCAAACTGTTGAGAAGCTTTACCAACAGTAGTTCAGGATGGCTATCAACAATCATACATTGTTATATACAATAGAGGCTCTGTCACCTGTTGAAGAGAACTTGAACCCAGGTGGATTTTTTCTGTGACTTTGGGTCCTCCAGTTCTTTTATGGGATATCAGTGCCTTATGCCTTCTCTTCTTCTGTGGGCTGTATCTCACCCTACAGGGAGAGAGTATTTGTGTTGTTTTGCTGTTGCTGGTGGTACCTAGTACACAGTATTTCTGCTGTGTAGCAATCTGGAGTATTTCTTCCCTGCAATGCCTAGGCTTTCTTTAGATTGCATTTGCTTTATGACATAAATTCTCTTCTATCTCGCTTCATCTCTTCTCAGAAAAGAAGGCAGGAGTAGAGGCAGATTCCATCAAGAACTATTTATTCCTGTGTGGGGTTAGGATACCTACTATGGCCTCACCACCCTCACAAGGCATTTGGTATCAATACAATAACTTTGCAGGATTCTTATCCTGAGAGTTACGACCAAAAAGTTTTATTTGAGAACCATGTACTCATGTAGTATGAAGACAACATTAAGTAAATGTGCTAAGTAATTATTTGAACATTTCAAACAAACAGAAATATACACTTCCCTTTGGCCGCTGATTTCAGTTCACTTAGAAAGTTCTCCCTAGCCAGAAATAGCCATTGTTCTTTTCCCTTGCTGTTTTACTCTCATTGTCTGTTTTCTGTCTTGCAAGGTATTCTAGACGCAGGGTGTTCATACATTTCACCTTTTTTCATTAGGATTTACTATACTTGAGCTCTCCCAGTCTGGCTACAAAGTCTCATGGAAGCACTTTTCCTTCTTCTTGTCTTCTCTTTTATTCATGTTACCTGCTTTCTGTACACCCATCTCTTGTCTTTTCAGGCTCCTGTGGCAGCCTTCTCCAGGCCTTCCATCAGCCTGCCGCGTCCTGTGTGTCTACAAGGACTTGCTGCCCAGAGGCCCCCACTCAGCCCTCCCTGCAGCCCTCCACATTCACGTGGGAAGGCTCTTTACCCAGCAGCTTCTCCTAGGACCCCCTCCTGACGGTCTTCTTGGAACACTTTTGTTTTTATGAATTACAATCTTCTTGTCCTCTTATTTCCCATTTCATTCTTGGTTACATTCATAATGAGGGTTTTGGCCTTTGTGTTGAAAAGCTTCTATTCTGATACAAGAGGCTTAACTAAGTTTCTGCTGAATATAAATTTCTATTTATCTTCCCTTGGGATATCCTGCCTCTTTGGAGAGAAATGACTTGTAGGCTGAATGCTACCAGGAATACTATCAATTCTATAAACATATTCAACTTATACTCATACAACATTTTAAACATCTTTAAACTATCTCTCACAAGGTTTGTAAACAGAGGAGTAGTTTAGTTAAATCATGAGGAAGTATACAATCTAAAACAAACAGAAAAAGAAATAAATACCTGTTTTACTTGGCCATAATAAACATTGACATTTCAGGCTGAAATATATCCATCATTCCCTCCACATACAACAGTGGATGCCATATGTGCCCAGTCCTTGAATGGGGGCAGTAGAAGGCATACTTCCTGCCCACAGGAAGAGACCATTGGAAGGAGGGACAACATAAGCACGATGACTAATTACAGTGGTGTAGTATAAGTGTCATGATACAAACATGTAAAAATAATCTTGGGGACACAGGCAAGACAGTACATGATTCTGACTAGCACAGAAGGCTGGTCTGAGGCAGTGGTACCCAGCGACCCAGACTGAGGATAACAGACAGAGTGAAGTAAGTGGGTGTCCTTAGGGCAGCATTATACCTGGGTTGCAAGCTGTAAGAGGCTCCTGTCAACTCAAGTACGGAGTCTATCAGAATCATTAAACTTGAACTGTACCATCTTGGAATGCTTTATCAAACTTTAAAGAACCAGTTTTTCTAAAGAACAAAAGCATCTATGAGGTGCTGGAGGATTGTTCTTGAGAGGTCATAGGTCGCTGTTCCCCATGTCGCATGACACTTTCCCTTAACAGTGTGACAGTCAAGCAGTAACATCTGTTTCTATGTGACTACACTGTGATACATTGAAGGGGACAGGCGGTAGTTTAGTGCAGGCTGCAACTTGTGAGTAATTTCATATGGAGAGAATTCCACTCTGTGGTTCTGAAATTAGGAAAAAGAGGAAGTTGCTTTTATTACTGTGGCATAGGGGGGCCTCTGCGCCAGATACCTTTTTCTTTTTCTAATTTGTAACCATTTCCTGACTGATGTTCATGTTGCATGGTTTTTTCATAAGTTACCCAGTGCTTACTTACATCAGTTAATGGCCAGCGCCGGGGCTGCGCTCGGCAAGCCTGGAGCAGAGGCCCCGCACCTGGGCTCACACCACTAATAGATCACACAGGGCCTGGTGATGGCCTGCGAGGACAGCTGGAACAGTTCAACCCCGTTCATCTGTCACGATTACCATGCATTGGGGGTTTGCCTGGCTTGCTCCACTCATTTCCTTTGTCAGCATGACTAAGATCAAAGTGCAAGAAGAATACATAAATGATAACCTCGAACTTCGCCCAAACACAGAGACTACTACTATCTGGGCAATGTCTTCCATCTTGCTTTCCCCAAAGGCAAGGAAGGAAAAGGGCAAATTATGTTTAAGTATAGCCTTTCTTGTACAGGCACTTCCAACCACCCCCCTCACTTTGTTTCCTGAACCTATCATAGTTGTATTAATCAATTGGTTCAGGGATTTGAGATTTCCTGACCTAATCACAGGATTTGGGAAATTCTGATTTCTGTTTACATGACTTTGTGACTGTGATTGCAGACTCTGTGCCTGGCTGAACTCACATCATTCATTCTCTATTCCGAGTCTGAGACCTGAAGAATGCAGGTAAATTATCTGTGCTTGTTGTCATGAGCAGAAAGTAGTTTATTTCCAGAATACATTTTATTTAAAATACTATGAAAAAAAATGTTCATAATGGCAACAACAGTTTATGGACATGATCAAGCAGGTAATAATTACTTTTGGATTGTGTTCCAGATTAAAAAAAAATAATCTTGCAGTTGTTTCTGAGTTTTGTCATGCTCTGTCCTTTCTGTCTTTAAAATGAACATTGACGCATGAAGGAAAGGAAGACGTGAATTGGGGGTATGGCTGCAAGTGACGGAGTAACTCAGAATTATTTAAGGAATCATTCTGCTGCAAAAATTACCTTCAGATAACACAGAAGGTCTTTATTTAGTAAAATGTATGTGTTCTCTGGATTGATGCTGTCTCTGAGAGTTGCATCATATAGAGTAGATGTGATAAACTGAGGTAGAATGAAGCCACCTAGTTTAATGCTATTGGACATGTTTAGTGTTTTCTTTATTAAGATAAAATTTTTTTTTTAATAAAAATTCCTCCATGGATTTCCAGAAACCACAGCTAGTCTATGTGGTTCCTTTGTTACTTTCTAAAAACAACTATTTGTCTGTCTGTCTATATCTGTATAGATATAAGTATGTATATCTTCACCCCCAAACTGATAATTATTAACTGATAGTGGGAAGTCAAAGTGTAGATACTGTCTACAACACTACCTCTGTGACCAAGCTGTCACATTACTTGTGTGTGTATGTGTGTGTGTGTGAGAGGGAGAGAGAGAGTTGTGGAAATATCGAAGATATCCCCAGAGTATCCTCATATTAGATAGTAGAGCAGCACTCAGACAACTCAGATTAGATCTTCCTGGTGGGCTCCTCTTGAACCCCACACTTAACTTCTCCATATTTTATGTTCCTTGCCTGCAAAATGTGATAATAATGACTGTCGCAAAGGATTGTTAAGAAGATTCAATTAAAAGAGGTAACGTGAAGAGAAATTGATCTGGTATCAGCAGATCTGGATTTGAAGCTTAGGCTTTTTACTAAAAAGCTGTATAACACTGGGCAATGCATTTAATGTTCTGCATCCCAACATTATCAGATGTAAGGGATGTAAGTAGCATAGTGCCTGCCATGTAACAGGCACTCAGCAAATATTTGATATTAGCGTAGAATGATAAAAACTTGTGCAGATGTTAACTTTTTATGATGAGCTGGTAATAAGATAATGCCTAACTCTGTGGATGTTTTCTCTAAACTTATTCTAACTGATACAGAGAGTTTAGTGGCATGTAGAATAGCATTTTGTTGATTCCTAACCTGCTACCTTTGTGAAGGAATGAGTATATCTGTAGATTTAAGGTAATAGTGTGATTACATGCATTGATCTTTTTTTTTTTGCAGTTTTTGGCTGGGGCTGGGTTTGAACTCACCACCTCTGGCATAGGGGGCCGGCCCTATCCCTTTGAGCCACAGGTGCCGCCCAGCATGCATTTATCTTAACGACACCTGGAATTGGTTAGCTTGTCCAAGTTTAAGAACTCTTCTCTGGTAAATGTGAGTTAAACAGCATTGGTATAGTTGCAGTTTCTATGTACAAGTTTTAACTGTGTGGACTATTTTAATGACCATAATTTTGAGGGTAAAAATGAATTTGGTTTTTCAGCTAAAAAGCAGACTTTGGCAGAAGAGGTGTACTGTAGTTATTGATATCCACAGTTTGCCTCAAAATATTCCCTGGTATTTCCTTAGCCAAGTCTTTATCAATTTTATCTCCACAGTTTCTCATAATTTTCCTCCTATCCAGAATTCTCCTTCTGAGCCTTATAACAGATTTTCCTTCTTTCAGGACATCTCCTTTCTAATCCATTTTGCCTAATTTTCTAGAGTCGCTTACCTAAAGTGCAACCTCCCAGGCCTAATGGCTCCTCGTCCTGACCTAGGGTGACTGCCCCCCAAATCATACGTTTCTGATACCATTCTATATATCTTGTCCCACTGAACTATGCCATTCTTTCAGAAATCATATCTCATATAATGATATATTCGTGTTTATTTCTCAACCATGTTTCTGTAGGAAATATCTGGTCTTCCCAGTAGTAATGTGACATATGATTTCAGACTGTGGTGGTGCTGTCTGCCCTCATCCTTTGTTGGCCAGTCATTTTCTGAGGCATTGTGGATATTTAGGAGACCCTGGAACTAGCCTTGTTTCTAAACTATTGTCAAGAACTCCTCAAACCTCTAGAAAAAGGGTAGGGAGGATGGCCAGCTCATGATGGTGGTCTGGTCCTCATCCTCTGATCAGTGAAATCCTTCCTGCCTGTCATTTTTTTCTCACTGAATGGGCCTCATGGAATTTTAGGTCACCTAAGCCTCAACCTCATTGCTCACAGAAGGTTGCTTTCTAGATGCCTCTCCCTTCATCTACTCCAAACTCCCTTTTCATTTCTGGCTGTTATTTGCTCTAGAGTAGGAATGTGAGTGTGGTGTTGGGCTGATAGCAGGGGTCTGGGTGGCCTAGTGCACCTGGTGCACGTGGGGTTGCAGTCTGGTGTGGTAAAGCAATATCTCTCCAATGTGAGTGTGCATCAGAGTTACCTGCAGGGTAGGTTAAGACACAGACTGCTGGACCCCACCCCTGAGTGTCTGAGTCAATAGGTCTGGGGCAGGCTGAGAATGTATACTTTTAACACTTTGGGGACAACTCATTATATATGGAAGTACAGCACTGATGAGCTCACAACTATGAAAGTGCTCTGTGTATTCATACCTCTGTGCGGCTATTCACACCATTTGATTGGTCTAGGAGGCTTTCTTCAAATCTTTCCATTTGTATTAGTAACTTCAGATCAAACACCATCTGTTCAATGATATTTTTGTAACTTCCTTAGCCAGGGATGGAACAGTTGTGTTGCTCTCTTCTCTAACTTCTTTGCAATCTATTTGCCCCCCACCCCCATGGTATTTATCACCATGCACTATACATAAAGTATGCGTGACTTTCTACCAGTGCATAACCCCTCTAAAGATGATGCACTGGTTGCTTTTATCTTGCTTTTTCAGTGCTAAGCACAGTGCTTTACGCACAACATGTGCTGTTGGTGCTCTACCCAGATCCCCTGGGTCCACTTTACCACCTCTGTGTAGCCATCCTTCAGTTCCTGTACACTTTATTTCTACCAACTTAAATTTATAACTTTCTCCAGAGGAATAAATTTGAATTACTGGAGTCACTTCCTTCAGACACATGGAGAGCTGGGATTGTGTAGAAGTTTACATCCCTGGCAGAGTGATCTGGAGCTGATGAATGGTGCAGCTGTGGGAAAGCCCAGCTTCATTTCCTTTAGGTGGGGACACACTCCACACCTCCCCAAAGGCTCAGGTGGAGTCAGATTCACCTGACTTCAAACCTTTGGCTTCTTTCTTCGCCTTCTTTATCCTGCTTTCCTTACTCCCTTAACTGGTTTGGCCAAGGAGTGCTTCTTTAATATCACTCGCACATGAACTCTTGTCTCAGGTTCTGCTTCTGGGGAACTGGCAGGTGTGGGTGTGTGTATTTGGTGAATGAATGAATGTTTGAAAAGGAATATAGCATAATAGGACCATGTCTCTGGAGCAAGACTACCTGGGTTTAGATCCTAATTCTGTCACTTACCAGCTATGCAATCTTGGACAAGTTATTTAACCTCTTTGGGCTTCATTTCCTTATCCACAAAATTGAGTTAAAATCATACTTCATGTTCAGATTATTGTAATTGTTAAATTAATACCTGTAAAGCATCTATATGGAACAGTTTCTGCCATAGTTATAACTGTTTTTAAGAACAAATTAAAAAAAATGAATGAAAAGAAATTAAAGGATATATAGAGAAATGGAAAAACATCTTGTATTTACGAATTAGAAACGATATTGTTAAGATGACATTACTATCCAAAATGATCTAAAGACTCAGTGCAACCCCTATCAAAGTCCCAGTGTTATTTTTTGCAGAAATAGAAAAATCAATCCTAAAGGGACCTCAAATAGCCAAAATAATCTTGAAATAGAACAAAGGTAGAGAATTCACTTCCAAACTGCAAAATTTACTTCATCACTATGGTATAGTAGTCAAAATATTGTGATCTGACCTAAGGACAGGCATATAGACCAATGCAATAGAATAGAGATCCTGGATTAGGGAGCATGGAAACCAACCTGCATGTAAATGGCAAACTATTCTTTGACTAAGGTGCCAAGATGGAAAACTGGATCTCCACATGCAAGAGCATGAAACTCAATCCTTATTTTATGCAAAAACTTAACTCAAAACCAATCAAAGACCTACATGTAAGACCTAATGCTATAAAACTCTTATAAGAGAATATAGGAGGAAATCTTCATGATGCTGGATCTGGCAGTGGTTTCTTGGATATGCCCCCCCTAACACAAGCAACTAAAGAATAAATAGACAAACTATACTCCATCAAAATTAAAAACTTCTGAACATCAAAAGCCACTATCAAGAGGGTGAAAACATAACCCATAGAATGGGAGAAAACATTTGTAAATTATACAGGGTGGCCATAAAGTTCATGTACAACTATTTAAATTGCATGTGAACTTTATGGCCACTCTGTATATCTGATAGGGGATTAATATCTAGACTATATAAAGAACTTTTACAACTGAACAACAAACAACTCAGTTAAAAATGGTCAAAGGACGTGGCTAAATATCTCTCCAAGGAATATATGAAAATGGCCAATAAACAGATAAAAAGATGTGCAACATCATTAGTCATTAGAGAAATGCAAGTTAAACCCACAATGAAAAGCACTTCACTGCTATTTGGTTGCCCATTACAGAAACAAACTGGAAAATAACAAATTTTGGCAAAGATGTGGAGAAATAAGAATCCTTGTGCAATGTGGGAATGTAAGACAAAACAACCCCTATAGAAAATGGTCTACTAGTTCTTCAAAAATTTAAACTTAGAATTACAGTATGATCTAGTAGATCCACTCTTAGCAATTACTCCCCAAAGAATTGAAAGCCAGGATTCGAACAGATACTTTATATATTGTGTATCAGTGATCATAGCAACATTAGTCAAAAGATGAAAACAACTCAAGTATCCATCAATAGATGACTGTGTCAACAAAAAGCAGGATATAATGGAATATTATTCATAAAAAAGGAATGATACATGCTTTATATGGATGAACTTTGAAACATTATACTAAGTGAAATAAACCAGGCACAAGGGAAAAATATTGTTGTGATTCTAACTTATATGAGGTACATCGAATAGACAAATTCATAGAGATTAACAATAGAATAGAGATTACAGAGACTCAGGGGGAGGGGTAGCATGAGGAGTTAATACAGTAGACCCTCCATAGTTGACCACCTCCCTACATGACCAGTTCCTTAAATTGACCTAATTTTTATAGACCAGACATGCACCACATGTATGTATTAGTACAGTAAGCCTAGTTTCTTATGTTGACCACCTCCATTGTTGATGGTTTGTTACAGTCCCTTGGGTGGTCAAGGCTACTGTAGTGGTAATGATTGCACAACATTGTGATTGTACTTAGTGCAACTGAATTGCTTACTTAAAACATGTTAAAGTGGCAAATTTCATATTACGTATTCTTTACTACAGAATAAAAAAGGCATTAATTTTAGTCTTGCATTTTGCTATTCTTTTTTTACCTCTGGGACTTTGACATCTGTATCACTGACGTTTCTTTTCTCTTTCATGAAGTAAATACATGTGAGCCATCTCTGGGCTTTTAAATAATGTGTCTAGATGGCTGTGAATATTTAAACACTGAATTAAAAGGATAGAAAAAAAAACCACTGTGGATAAACATGACTAAATAGGGGAACAATCAATTATTTGAAAATTCTTTAGGTTTAGTCAGAATTTGTAAGAAAGCCATGTATGCAGTCAGTCCAGTTGAATTATCGATACCATAAAGCACTCTGAGCCTGGAGTTTTCTTCAGCTTTACTGTGTATCCTTTCATATAAGTTGTCCATGTGAGTCCACTTGGTTTGGGCTCATATGCAAGTTGGTTTCCAGTCATATGCTCCCATCTTCTTACGTTCACACCTTACTCCATAGAGTTGAAGTTGTACCCTGAAGGGAAACTTTGAAGGCCCACAAATTCTAATTTAGATGTGCTAATCACTGCGCTGTGGTGTTTGAGTGTTTTAAACTTAGCAATAAATAATGTTTTAAAATCTTAGCACTCTAGGAGGCAGAGGCGGGTGGATTGCTTGAGCTCACAGTGTTCAAGATCAGCTTGAGCAAGAGCAAGACCCTGTCTCTACTAAAAATAGAAAAACTGAGGCAAAAGGATTGCTTAAGCCAAAGTGTTGGAGGTTGCTGTGAGCTATGATGCCACAGCACTGTACCCAGGGCAACAGCTGAGATC